TACTGAACCCTCCACGAGGGTGCCGTCTGGTAATGGGTCACACAGTTTTTTTTTCGTCCTGTACGTTGTCAGGACGGTGCCCAGCTAAGATCAGGAGGAATTGAGTGATTGTCCTTAGCTCTTTAATAGCTGCACACCACTCAATGCTTTCTGATCATGGTTTGAAGGTCCCCTTAACTCGGGAGTGTTACGCGATCCGTGCTCACCGAGTAGGTTTGCAGTCAAGGGGTCTGTCCGACTGTGTTTGTGCGGAGCCTCTCCAATATATGACCGCCTTGGGGAGTAACTGTGGTCTAGCCATGGTGTGGGACGCTGCTGTGGTGGTCGCTTCTTTCGTCCAAATATCCTCGGGTCCGCCGCGCCTGTCTTACCGGGTAAGGTGGACGATTATGAATATGTTATGATTTCTCCCGACAATGTCTCGGAACTCGTGGCTGGAGAGTATAAACCCACCAAACTTACGGAGGACGAATTGTTGAAATCGGACGACGAGATCGTTGCCGATTCCAATACCGGTTGTACCAGTCACAGTACACCGGCGTCTAATCCAATCCAACCAACAACCAAAAAAATCGACGGCACTCCGTCTACCAGTCAAAGTAGACCGAGTGTAAACCGCACGCCAACGCTTAAAACTGCCAGTCTAAGCAGTAAGGGCAATACAAAATCTCGGAAAAAAACGGCCAACATGGCACGCAAAAATCGTTACCAGCGAGCGCTTTTTATGCTAAAGAAAATTGAGAGCAATAAAAAAGAAGGCAAGGTCCATGAACGAGACGAAGCCGACGCTGTTAAATACCGCGCCATTGTGGAGGAGTATCTTCATGATGAAGGTCTGCGCCAGTCTGTTATCACCGGCAAGAACGTCGGAGATGGCGGCAAGCGTAACAGATCTCAGGAAGACCCCAGCAAGGAGGCGAAGCGGCACAAAGTTGGAACGGGGGATGGAAAGCTAATGTCAAGACCGGCACAAGCTTCTCGTCCCTTCAGTGAAGTGGCGAAAGACCATCTCAGTGTGGCCTTGATCGACGAACACAACTCTAACGGCAAGCTGCTGATGGAGAGGTGGGCGCTGATTGAGACCAAACTGTCCGAATTGGTTATGGCTGAGCTCATGACTAATCCGGGGTCCATTCCTTCTTTTGACTGCGCAGATATCGTCCGTGGTCACCGAGTGATCAGATGCGACGACGAGTAGTCGCGGAGTTTTCTCAGCAAGGCGATCACTAAGATTAATGAGAACTGGGACTGTTTAAAGCTCAAACTTGTCCCTGCGGCGGAAATTCCATCGAGGCCTCGAGCGCGCGTATGGTTACCCAAAAACCTTGGTCCTCCTGACCTTATTCTGCAGCAGCTAAAGCTACAAAATCCAGAAATCCTGATGGAAGACTGGTCGGTTCTCAAGACCGAAGAACCGCAAAAACACAGCCAATCGTACTTACTTCTTATCAACGAAGAATGCTTGCCAGTCATTGAGGCTAATGACTGCAAGCTGCGTTACGGCATCCGGAAGGCAAAAATCAAAATCTTTAAAAACGCGCCACCGGATAATATTCTGGATGAGGTTGAGGGCACTAGTAAGCTGCTAGATGACCTCATCATCGATAGCAAACCTTGTTGATGTATTAATGGCCAAGGTCGTGCAGATAAACCTGAAACACTCTAAATGTGCCACGGATAATCTGGCTGTCTTACTCAGGGAGGAGGACATCGACCTTGCCATCATCCAAGAGCCCTGGGTTCATAGCTCATGTGTCAAAGGGCTCAACATCAATGGGTATAATCTTTTTTATGACAAAGGACAGGGTAACCCTAGATCGTGCATTTTAGCAAAAACGCACCTTAATGCTTTTCTCTGCTCTCACTTAAGTTCTTTAGATATAACCACCATCCGGATAGAGCGGAAGCTAAAACCTGCGATTTTGGTAACATCCGCCTACATGCCACACGATGATGAGGCACCTCCAGAGGGGGTACTACTAGTCCAAAATTTCGCGCAGACCGAGAAGCTAGCCTTGCTGATGGGTTGTGATGCCAATGCCCGGCACTCCTTGTGGGGAAGCTCGGAAATTAACGATAGAGGTGAGTCTCTTTTATATAAAATCATATTAAAATGTAATCTAGAAGTATGTAATAAGGGTAACACTCCCACCTTCATTTTTCCGAGTACGGATGATCGTGTAGGCTGGGAAGAGGTTTTAGATATTACTCTTTGTTCGACTTCGTGCTCTTTAACGATCAATGATTGGAGAGTTTCAACCAGGAACTCCTTCTCTGATCATAGATATATCATGTTTGTGATGAATATTCCCATGGTAGCTAAGCAATCTCACCGTAATCCCAGGAAGACAAACTGGGATACTTTCAGGTCATTGCTCAATAGAAAAATCAACATAGCCCCCGCTCCAATTAACTCGATTAGGGAATTGGAGTGCAGGGTCAACTCTTTGACAAATAATATTATTTCTTCCTTTGAAGCATCATGTCCTCGCTCGTATGCGAAGAAGTGTAGGCCACCATGGTGGAACGAGAAGCTCTCTTTGCTCCGCAGGAATGCGAGAAGAGCCTTCAACGAAAGCTATCGGACCAAGGTTTGGACTCCATATAAAGATGCTCTTAGGGTTTACAAAAAAGCACTTCGGGAATCCAAGAAATTGTCATGGAATTCTCATTGCCAGCAAATTGAAAGCATTAAAGAATCCGCTAGACTAGCCAAATTGCTAGCAAATGGCCAATCTTGTCCCTCGCTCATTAACAAAGTAGACGGAAATCCAGTTAAATCCCTAACGGAATCCCTCTCACTATTAGTGGATACCCATTTTCCTGGTTCCTCGGGTGATCCCCCAAAGGTATTGCCGTATCGTTCAGCCAATTCTGGCGAGACTATACAGTCAGTGGTATCATCTAGAAGGATCAAATGGGCCATCGATTCATTCTCTCCATATAAAAGTCCGGGTCCTGACGGGATCTTACCAATTATGTTACAATCTCTGGGAGATGTAGCTGTAAATTGGCTGTACGCGATTTTCTGTAGCTGCTTTTCACTTAATCATGTCCCCAGCGGCTGGAGACAAGTTAGAGTAGTTTTTATTCCAAAAGCAGGTAGAACAGGCCATAGTACGGCTAAAGATTACAGACCCATCAGCCTTACTTCATTCTTACTTAAAACTATGGAAAGACTGATCGATGCTCACATCAGATCTTTACACAGTTTCGCTAAA